ATTATAACAGCTGAGCAGAAACTTGCTTTTCCTCTTGTGTGAAGGAAGGGTTTGAAGATACTGGTCCAGCGCTCGCTGAAAGGCAGAAGGAGGAGTCATGGACATTGCGAAGTTGTCCAAGCCGAGGTCCATTTCCTATCGATACCATTTGTACTGAATACATAGCCTTGTCTCTACAGGTTCTGGTTTCCACTGAGTCAGAACAATGAAATATAAAGATTGTTGACAGATACGAACATGTCGGCGCTGCATACTGGTTTGTACCGCGTGCCTTGAAGTTCAATACCGAAGAGGATACCAACATAAGTACTGAATTTCTGTACCAAAACGAACTTCAACATGGCCTCGCAAGAAGGGGAAGATCGAACAACGGCTCCAGAGAAGCGTATAGCTCGTTATGATCAATAGTGAGTAGATAAAGGATTCAAGGAACGTTACTAAGCGTGAACAAGTTTTGATTTGTAGATCCTTTCTTTACTCTCAACGTCCGTTCGACTTATAAATGTTGCAGGCGCACTTTTTCAACTACTCTCAAAAAAACAACAAAATTAGCACCCAAAACCCAAAAAAAACATGTTCTGCTTGTCCGACGGATTATTGATTCCAGAGGTCGACATGCAGCTACTGAAGTTGATATAAAGAGCCCGGCACTGGCAGAAGTGCTGAGGGAAATCAACAGAGGAGTTGGTGGACTGACGTTGAATAGAAATCCCCCTGTTGTGCGTAACACTTATAACTGTGTTTTCGTTTGTGCTACTGAGGATTCACACAGGCTGACCCAAAATTGTTTTTCTATTCGCGGGTTGGTATCCAAGATAGACTAGACGCAGAGAACGCCAAGGATGTCCTGGATGAGGGTTTTGTCGCAGACCTCGAAGCGGCCATGCAATACATCGCAGAGGATCACTCACAGAACCTTATTGAGTACAATTCGATGACCTCCGAGCAGGAAATCACATATGAACTTCTATGGGCCCTTATACCTCCAAACACGCTTGCGTATCATTATCATCAATACACTGAGCAGCCTCAGATTCTTCTTGCCAAAGAGGTCAACTATTACTACCCCACGAACCGACCTTATTATGCTGATGTCGTCTGCGACATTATTAGCAATGACGGAAATTTCTTTGGACTTGCGCAAGTCACTCTCGAAGTCGAAACTTTTACCGGGGCTCGAGTAATACAGGATCTGCCTGTGTTCCCACTTTCTTTTCACAAAGACGCGTCAGAGCTCCGACAACATGCATTGAAGCGAGGAAGAAAATTCGTATCTATGAACGACTATACATATCATGAAATCAGTGGTCCCGTCATCCAGGAGCGGATTACCCAACAGGAAGAAGTCAAGTGGTATAAGATCAACGTACGTTATGTACCTATTCTCCGGTCAACTCATCTCAACTGAATGACAAAACATTTAGTCTTATGGCCGAGTGATGATAGATCCTGTTGCATTTCGCCGCTTCGAGCCTAATCGCAAGTTTAACTCCTCTGTTTATCGGCGACTTGATCGTTCTGTTATCACTGATGAACATTTCATGATCTGCAATCCCGTAGTGTACGGTTTTTGTTTCGGAATCAAGAAGTGGGGTATGTACACCGTTCTCCGACTACCAACAAACCTGGTTAACACATCCACACCCAAATTTCAAGGTGGTTTTGCTATGGACCGTTTACAAGACATCGAATGGTCTGACGATCTCTTCAATTTCCTCGTTCTCGGACAAAAACAAAAGATGCTCATCTCTGCCCTTGTTCGACAACACGTCACCGACGATAACCAATTCGATGACTTCGTTCAAGGCAAAGGCAAAGGTCTGGTAGGGTTGTTATCTGGACGGCCGGGATGCGGAAAGACCTTGACCGCTGAAGCCATAGCGGAAAAAACACATCGAGCATTGTATGTTGTTAGCGCTGGCGAGCTTGGAACTCACCCCAAAGAAGTCGACGAGCGACTTACTTCGATACTTCAACTTGCTCAAACGTGGCATGCAGTGTTGTTGCTTGATGAAGCAGAGGTGTTCCTACAGCGGAGAGACTTCACTGACCTTGAAAGAAATGCCCTCGTTTCGATCTTTCTGCGGCAATTGGAGTATTATCACGGTGTCCTTATACTGACTACGAATATGATCAATCACATCGACCCCGCGTTTGAAAGTATGTGATCCTTCAAGTCGAATTATCCACACATTCTGAACTTATATGTGCGGATCTGCTTAGGTCGAATCCATTTCTCCATACAATATCCCGATCTCGACTTCGACGCACGAAAACTTATCTGGAAAACATTTTTCACCAAAGTCATGGACCAATCGAATTTCATCAGCCCGGAGGATTTGGATCGTCTTGCAGGCTATCAACTTAATGGACGCCAGGTATGTGCCTGTGAAAGTAGGGAATCTTCGCTAATATCACCAAATGGGAAACACAGATCAAGAACATGGTCGGTAGCGCACAGGCCATTGCATTGGACAGAAATGCTCCGTTGACTGTGGAGCACGTAGACACTGTCTTAGACGTGGTAAACAGCTGGAATTCTGAAAGCTCTCTGTCTTCGGAACGCCTGTTGGATGTTGGGCCAAGTCAGTCTAAGGAGGATGGACAAATTGAAGAAGATCTCTTATTCTAGACTTGCATGTATTACAGTATAAGCTCAGGACTTGTAGGATTGTGATATACGTTTTGAACACCCACGAAACACTGAATCACGCAGCACTACAAAATGGAATATCTTCTAGCGCCTGTTAAGCGTCTTAACGTTATGCTTCCATGAATTTTCGCATAGTCTTTCGGAACTCTCTTAGTTTAGAGCTCAATCGAATTCTCTATATCGACCGAGCCTTTGTGGTTGTTAACAAACCTCCAAACTTTGTCACGCAGTACCCTGGTGATGGTCAGACAGACGCGGTTGCTGAATTGGTTGGCAAAAGTAGAACCATGTTTTCTAAGCCCATACATCCTCACAAGCACTACTGACTCGATGATTTGATCAAATTCATAGTCCCTTCATGTCCAAGCTCAACCAAGCTCTATCCAGTACATCGTTTAGACAAAGTGATTTCCCAGTTCTGCTCTCATGTTCCTCTAAATTTCCTGAAACACCAAGTGCTTTGGTTTTGAAGGGAACAACAGGATGCCTAGTCTTTGCACGCTCTCCTGACCATGCTCACGCATTCTCTCGTCAACTTCAACAGCACACGGTGCACAAGACTTATCATGCTTTGGTCAATACGTCTAATAGTCCAACTCTGACTATGAAGATGGGTTCGGGGAGTATACGTGTTGGGATGACGTTGAAGGACGGCCGACCACACCTATCGCAATCCAAGTCGGCACGAGAGACATCGACAGATTGGCAGGTCATCGGGTGGTCAGTAAGTTTTGTGTCCTCTATCTTCTAATACTCGCATTCTTGATAACGCGTCGACCTACAGGACGATATAGCGCTTGTAAAGCTTCATCTGCGCACAGGCATGAAGCATCAGCTCCGTGTTCATATGTCTGATGTACTGCAAGGTCTGGCCAGTCCTTCTCATGAAATTATCTTAGCTGAATTTCGCCTCTGTAGCTCCCATTCTCGGTGACATTCAACATACCGGTACACGACCATGTACAGTTCCTGTCCCGAATGATCGTCTTTTCCTCCACGCATCTGAAATATCCTTTCACGTATGTTCATGCGTACGTACCCAGATTTGCCTAATTTCTGATACTTCTTTTTTCCAAATAGCGATATAGGCGGACGGGCAAGCAAAAGCGAGTGGACCTTACCGTGAGAGCACCGCTCCCGCTGGACTACATGGATCTGTGTATCCGTAACAAGATCGAAGTACCTTCGAATTTAGGAGAAGGGGGCTTATTCATTGACAGCCAGCCCATGCAAGAGGTTAAGGATCTCGATGGTTTCTGGGCGTGCCGTCAAGACACAATACCATGAACACAGAATAGATGCCAGGGATCTCTACTTGATACTCCCAAAATTGGGATCGACGTCGCATGAATTCTGCAACGCTGTAATTCTAGTGACTGGATCGAATTTTCGAACTCGCCGAAAGACCGGAACCCCAATCATAACCGCATTGGCGTTTCACCGACATTCACAACTGCGCGAGGCTGCGGTGATCAAAGCGGCCGGCGGCTGTTGCTGGGCGCTACTCCAGCTCCACTCATTTTCAGTACAAATAGTCGGGTTTCTGTTTCATTCCTCTTACCTTTTTGTTTACACCCTCGCCTTCGCTCAATTTCTTGGACTTGCACCATGAAATTCACCAGCACAATCCTCGCCGGTCTTTTCCTTTTATTAGGTCCCGTGGCCATTCTCGCCCAAGACAGTTCATCTTCTACCGATACTGCTGCAGCGGAGTCATCAGCCCTATCCGCAGCATCGAGCGTTGTATCTGCTGACGCCGGCTCAGTCACGGTCATTGATGGGTGAGTGCACTGTTAAACCAACAATTATGACATCTCGCCTTACAACTTTTCCAGGTTTACAATTACCATTCCTTCTGGTATCTCTATCCCTTCGATTCCCAGCGCCGTCCTTTCCGATACCTCTCTCATCGCGTCTATCGCGTCTTCCATCACCGCGACATTGACGGGGTCGTTGGCTTCTGAGGCTTCTTCCGTCCTCAACGAAATCACCGGGGGCAGCGCGTCAAGCACAGCTACCTCTACCGGAACTAGTGCCACAACCACTGGCAGTGGATCTAGTGTAGCTAGTGCGAGTTCTACAAGTGCTTCCAACGGGGCGATGAGTCTGGAAGGCGGATTTATTGGCTTGATTGGATCTGTCGGAGCAGGATTGCTTGCGGGCATGTGGATCCTTTGAGGTGGCGGGCATGGGTAGGATGAGGTTATACATATTCTCTTTCTGTGATGTGTCCCCTGCTTTTTTTGGGACGGGATCACAATGGACTCTTTCGTTACATCATTTAGAAAGCAGTGTCCGCAGTATTTGTAGCAATCTGCAATCGATCAACTCACCCGCCCACGAGGGCGGCGAGATGGCCGAGCGGTCTAAGGCGCTAGAATCAGGCATTTGAATCTAGTCATTCGTGGCGTGGGTTCGAATCCCACTCTCGTCATACATATATCAGTTCTTTCTTTTTCTTGCTTCACGATTTCCCGAACTCACCCTCAATGATTGCGGCCTGAATTAAGTCTCAACTTTCAACACATGATTCCCGTAAGCCTTGGTCCAGTAATTTCTTATGCAAGTAAAAAATTCTTGAATCGGTCGATGCGACAGATGCTCGCTGAGTCCAGTATGTAAGTGACCGCAGAACCTACTTCATACTTAGACAGTTCTGTTCGGAGGCTGTTGACTGGACGAGCTCGTCCACTAAATCTTCACAGCTTGCTTACATTCATGAACAATCCCTACAAGACAGATAATTGGGATTGAAACTGATTTCCGTCGAGAATCGACATTATCCCCGCAGCCACTCAATTTTTGCCGTGCTCAACCTGCTTGACGTTTGTGTGGCTCTTCTCATAAAGGACTAATGAGTTCAATATGAGGGTTAACAAATGTCGATAGGAAACCGCTGAAACTGAGTCTACTTCCAATACTAAATTAATCTATGAGGCGGCCCACCATCCATTCCACTATATTACTCATGTACGTGGTTCTCGAAATCTCAAAATACAGTACTATGTAGTATTATGTTTATGATTAAGTAGATAAACAGAAATACACTAGAGGTTAAGAAAAAAACTTGAGTGACACAAGAACTCGATGCTAGTCCTTATGTATACAATGTAACTCTCGAGGAGTCACAGACGAAAACCATCACCCATCGTCGCTATCATCGTCACCGCCACCTCCGGAGTTTGATAGCCCTTGGCTGTCTCGATTATTGCCAGTATTTGCATTGTTCTTCGTCATGCCGAACAACTGCGACCCATGGTGAAGATCAAGAGCACTTGCAAAAAGGAATGAACCTACAAACTTGATATTCTTCACGCTAAGCTTATTTAGCTTATTACCTGTCCCCTCTCCGAGAGCAGCTTCAGCAAGACCTATATATAAACATAACCATCCTCAACTCTGATTCGTTGAGAGGAGACGCTGCAGAAATACGGACCAACTTTTACGTCCTGGAGTTGTAGCATGCGCTCTTCGATGGTATTTCGTACAATCAAACGCTTCACGAACACAGGCTTTTCCTGCCCGATGCGGTGGGCACGGTCATAGGCCTGAGATTCAGCGGCATAATTCCACGAAAGGTCCATGCTACATAAGTCAAAAGATATTAACCACATGGGATCGGAAAAAAATACATACACTCACTTGACGATCCGGTTGGCAGCTACCAGGTTCAATCTGAGAAGGAGTTTGAAAATTGAAAGGTCTGTCCTATAAGTAAGACTTGCCCCACGCCACCCGATTTGGTGCTGATCAGTATGACCTTTGGTCCGTCAGGCTTCCTGAACTGCACCAATGTACGATCTCTTGATGTTCGGTCCATTTTGCCATCAAAACGCAAGCTGCGGATACCATATCGGGAGAAGAGAATTTCAATAAGATCGAGCATAGAGGTCCCTATGTAGAACATGAAAATCCAACGAGCAGACACGAAGAACGAAATCACATACACTGAGAGTAGCAAATAGTTTTGTCACCAATCGCCTCCCATTTCTTAATGTATTCAAGTAATTGAACCATCTTGATGCTGGGTTCCATGTCATCGTCCCCTTTTGACCAGGTAGCGACAAGGGCTTCTGGGAGACCTCCCTCTGATTCTGTATCCTTCCTTTTTTCTCCACCATTTGTGGACTGATGTGCCTTACGCTTATGATTTGAGGACTGGCCAGGTTTAATAGGACTAGAGAAAATCGGCTGGGCGATATCGTCCATTGTGAGGTCTAGGATATCGTCATCCTGTTGTCAAAAATGAAGTCAGGTATGATTCATGCTAGAGGAGAACCGGCCTACATGATCGGTGTTTCTCTCCCCAGTCTTATGCCTTTTCGTTGGACGCATGATGTCTGCGAGATCGGGTAAATCGTCGTCCGAGTCATCCAGACCTTTTAGCTCGAATGTTTTGTGTAACTTTACAGAAAGTTCATCATCGGAGCCCTCGTCCTCGGATGACCCGTAGGCGACCGCCTTCTTCTTTGGAAAAGAAGGAAGACGGTGAGACGAAGAAGTGTTTCGACGACGACGACGTTCCGAGTCGGCATACTTGCTGAGCTCCTCGTCCGTCGGCTCGAATGCAATAGCTTTGAAGATTTTCTCCGGCCCCATATCAAGAATAGTCTTGCATGTCGGACCTGAGCGCACAGATAATCAGTCTGGTTCAAGAATGAAGAAAATAGAATCACATCTCACATTTTCGATGGCCTTTAGCGTTGGCTTCCTCAAACTTCCTCTCGGCCTCCAGATTTTCTCTTTCTGTGCCTTCACCGCTAAAGTGGAAGGGCAAATGCTGTGAGGTCGTAGACATTTTTCGAAACCATTTCAACACCTACAAGATTCCATTATGCTCCATTGGAGAGTTTCGAATGTCCAAGACACAGTCTGCGGATATCGTTTAGGTTATCTGTTTTAAACAAACGGTTGAGAACTGACCCAAACAGATTTCGTGTCCGCAAGAAAGAATCCTTCCTTTTGCAGGAGCGAAAACTACACATTAATGAGTAGGTCGAAATATAGAAGAGCATGTATTTATGCATACTTTCTTCACATACGGGACACGAAGCAGTGTCTGGAGCCTCGTCATCATAATCCAACAGTTCGTTCGCACGTGCACGGAGAAGGAACCTTCGCGCGTGCACAGATGAGAAATATCGAGAAGAAAGTTCGCCGAACAACCTACTGGCGTATGATCTAATCATTATCGAAGGTATTGCGGATGAGTTCAAATGATAGTCAACAATGAGAATCAACCTACACCCTCAACCCAAGGTCTCCCCTTCGCTTTGATCGCTCTGGCTCTCTCTTTCTCTGCCTCACCACCCATCAAAGCAGTAGGATCGTCAAAGTTCTCCGTTTGAGATAAAATAAGATAAGGATGGCAACATAGTTGCCGGAGACGTAATATCATCACCTTCGAACACTATGTGTTAAGGCAGTTTATAGACAGAAAATCGAGGACTCACAAGTACGTATGTGTGGCTATGAAGATTATAGGATCATCAGTCGCGGTGAGGGTGTATTATTCAAGATGCAGGATCATCTTACTTCTTCACAAGTGTCCTTTCTTTAATGAATTTATTCAGACGAATTTTAGATTGTTTTTCGAACGAGTCGTAGCACTGGTCACCAATGAGAATCTTAACCGGAGAAAAATCACGAGGTACTTACTTCTCTTTCGTCGACGGAAAAATCCAACTTAACGAGCTGTATCTCCTTTGGAGGTAACTTCAAAATAGGTTCACCTTCCAACGTAGAATTCTTTGTGCGCCGGAGAAGGAGAGGAGCCAGGATAGCTTGGGCTCGTTGACCTGGGTAAGGATTATGATAAACAAGCATTGTTATCAGTCGAGGTCGTTCACGTACCGGCGAGAGGTGGATCTATAATCTGTATCTTAGCCTGCATTCACTCATTTATTGAGCACAAGAGGATGTCGTCTTAAAACAGGGGTGTACTCACGACGTGGTGGTTGAAATCATTCCAGTCGTTCCATGGCCTGAAGTGTCCAAACCGTAATAGACCGTAGATATCTGCACTGAAGAAAGCAAGTTAGTCGCGAAGTATAACTCAATTAAGGCGACAATAGTACAGGGTATTTGTCACGGGCGTGCCAGTGAGCATCCATCTATACGTTGCTTGAACGTGGGCGAGGCTAATACTAGATCTAGTCGCCCTAAATTCATAATCATAAGCTTAACTCGAGAGAGTTGGTAAACCGCACAGCATTCTCACCGATTGCGGATGAACTGAGCTTCATCAGCGATAGCACGATGGAACTTTGTACGAGCAAGGATACCACTGCCATCAAAATGAGCAGATAACTTGAACAGCGAAAGAATTAGAAATTTTACCCAGCCCTCAGTAGCCATTCAGATTCTTCCTCGATCGGAAGGTCTTTAGGAAAGTTGAAGTCCCCGTTCAGAGTCTGATAAGTAGTAATGATTACCTGCACATAATATGAGCGAAAGAATCGTCACGTGAAACAAAGCAAACTGACATCATAATTTTTGATTTCCGAACGTTTCTGTGGACAACAACAGAATCCAGTACAGTGAATTGTGACAACATGTAGAATACACGCACCTTCAATTTATCTTTTCCATGGTGAACATGCACACTCATGATGTCGTTGGTCCTTGTTTCTATCTCTTCCTTCCACTGTATACGTTGATCAGAGGGCGGGTGCTCAACGAGAATTTAGAGAACATGCCTGCTGCAAAAGGGCGGCTGGAACCACGATGAGAGTAGTTGTGGGGGCATCTTCGTCCTCTAAGGATGGTTGATTCATAGCCATGGTAGCTATCATTTGTACCGTCTTTCCCAGACCCATATCGTCTCTGGAATACAGATTACAACCAATGCAACTCGTGAAGGTAAATGAACTTGAACACATCACATACGCTAGGATTCCTCCCTTGTATTTACTCCTTTCTCGATCTAGCATCCTACATATAGTGCAAGTTTGTTGGTGAGATATTTCTCTGTATACTTAACTCACTCACCAGGAGACGCCGATGACTTGATGCGGAAGTAATCGTACATTCATGCCAGGTAGAATATCATTCAAGCTAAGATGTGTTCAGGGATTGAAGCTCAAAGGGACAGTAAATGAACATACTCCTCAAGTCCTAACTTTTCTACGGCAGACTTGACTGTTATACCATGGCTTGCGTTGTTAATGGTCTGAGTCACGAATTCGACCATTCTTTCAAGTGAAGAAGTGTGAAAACGGAAATCTAGCGGTTGCGGAATCTGAAGCTGACCGTAGTCCCTGGTCTGCACCCCCTATAGTATTGTGGCTATTGGGCCGCTGTCACGAAGGCGAGGTATGAATGCTCACCTATGTCAATCGTTCTCACAGGCGTCTGATCGTCATAATTTAATCCAAATCCACCTGCTCCTGCTACCCTGGATGTTCTAGAGGCTTGACTTGATGGTGAGCCTAA